AACAGCTTTCTACAAAATTCGCTTTTATTTGTTTACACATAGCTTCTTCTCTAGTGACTTCACTTTAAACTTTTCTTTTACATATAGCCTATCATTTCGCATAATGATATCTATCGACTAAAATAAATCGGGAAAACACCACAGTTCCATTATAGACTGCATCAATCCTTCGAGTAGTGACTACCGATATATCTACGTTAATTCAAACATCAATAAGCCCTGCAATTTCCAAACTAAAGGCAAAACGTTTCACGCGAAACTCAACGAGGATCAACACCACGAGAAGGTTTCTTTAAAACACACACACATACGCACTGACCTACGGTGGAAGAGGCGTTGACTTTCACTGAAATCGGAGTGGCCATGGCGAACGATGACGTCGCACGAGCTTGCCTGAAAGATGCAAAATTTAAGCTCCCGGAAAATGAAAGAGCAGAGTAAGAAAGGGGCTGAGGGTATAAGCTGGAAAAGGCGGAGGCGGAGCTGAGCTTTGTGGGGGAATCAGTGTAGGTGGCGGTGGAAAGGCGTATGTTGGTTGTGCCGCACATTTTCCAATTTTTAGATAATCGATGTGATTTATGAGAGAGAGAGGAAAAACAGTTGCTTTCCCCTTTTCTTTTGGGCGTTACTATTCACCGCCCCCTTTTTACTACTCACTGCCCCCTTGGACAATTTTGCCCTTTTCATTTTTTCTAAACATATCAGACAATTTATGAAAAAATACGTATCCGGCCGCCGGTTCCGGACAGCTTAAAGCCCGTCCGGAACCAGCGTCCGGACGGCTTAAAGACCGTCCGGAACCGGCGTCCGGACGGTTCAAAGACCGTCCGGAAAGCATGGCCGGTCGGACCGGCCGTGTCCGGACAGGCCGGCTGGACGGCAAGAAAGCCGTCCGGAACCGACGGCCGGTCGGAACCGGTCCGTCCGGTTCGGCCGGCCGGCCGGCAATTTTTTTTTATTTTATTTTATTTTATTTTTATTTATTATGTTATTATTCGAAATAATTATGTTATAAATTGGGCTATATTATTATGTTTTAAATTATTATGTTGCTTTTTAGACTTGATTATGATATAAATTGGACGTTTATCGTGTTAGGAGTTACAAATTATTATGTTACATGTTGATTATAATATAAATTGGACGTTTATCGTGTTAGGAGTTACAAATTATTATGTTACATGTTTATTATAATATAAATTGGACGTTTAGATATTATCGTGTTACGAGTTAGAAATTATTACATTATATATTAGTTTTAGTTATGTTATAAATTGACGTTAGATAGTATTGTGTTAAGAGTTACAAGTTATTGTGTTACATGTTTATTATAATATAAATTGGACGTTAGATATTATCGTGATCGTGTTATGAGTTACAAATTATATTAATTGAACGTTAGATAATATCATGTTACGAGTTACAAATTATTATGTTACATCCTAGAATTAATTATCTTAATTTAACATGTTCTAAAAATAAAAATATTATACTATATAGCAGGAGTCATGGGAAGATTTTGGAGGAGATGGTGTTGATTACAGTCTGCGTTTCGATACATCTTCATTCTATAATAGTGCTCAGGAGGCTATTGAAGCTGCAAAACACCAGGCAAAATGCGAGCAGCGAGTATACAGTTTATGTAGAATCCGATCCGAACACAAAAGTATACAGCTTATGCATCTCGGTACCGTAGAACACTACATTCGTTTAGATTTGACTGATGATTGTCCATTACCGCCTATTCATAACATGTGGTTCCGTTACCGAGATCAATCGGTTGTGGGTTGGGAGCATCAGTACCTATCTAGGTTGCAATTGTGGTATACTGTTCAAACAAAGCATTATTGAATAAAAGAACGATATTATTCAGTTACGGTATGACGCTTCTCATTCAACTTAAGTTCAGCAAATTAAAAAAAAAAAAATTCAACTTAATGTTTTACAATAATAATTAAAAAAAAAAAACATTCATTACATTATTATTGGGCATTGTCGTAATCAAACTTAAACTTAGCCAGCTGTTCTTCGACTTCCGCCGCCTCCGGACAGTCTGGAACAATCTGCTGCAAGGTCGATGTAATGCCCAAAAGACGGTCCACCCACTAAAAAAATGGAAGAATGAAAACATAAGACTAAAATTTATTAAAAAAAAAATATTGTAATGAATTAACATTAATTAAAATTTAGTAACCAACTTACATAGGCGGTGTTGACACGCGTTGGGACCTCGTCCTCGTCCGGCAGCTCCTCGCCCATGAGAGTCGGATGGGAAACCCGACTGTACCACTGCAGGTAATCCTCAGTCGCCTCCCCGCGATCCTGTGTGGTCTGGGTCAACATACTTGTGTTCACCGTCCCAGACATCGGGAACTGGGTCCAGAGGGATACTGCACCAGCCTCAGAATGCTCAACCTTGTAGTTCTTAGACTCCCAAGCACGTACTGCACTGATTGGCGGGAATATAGGGGGAGGGACAGTCTGGACATACCCCAGCTGACGCAGACACCGCGCAGGCAAGTACGGCTCAACGACATCGCGGTATCGAATCCATCCGCTATAAAGAGTCCTCGGCTCTATCGCATCTGGGCTGGAGCTGTCGTATGGCAACCATTGCACCTGTTCACAATTGCATAAGAGAATTTATAAAAATAATTATGTTATTTTAAATAACGGGTAACTAAATTTAAATAAAATAAATTCACGTACATCGGAGGCAGT